ATTCAAAATTACCTCACTGATAGTTGAAACATATTTGTTTCCTATTACTATTATTAAAGGATAAAGTCTTCCAAGTTTGCAAGGCTCTCTTCCTCTTTAATTTTGGGTAATCGTGAGTATAATTAATATAAAGTAGGATTCAAAGTAACATAAATCTTGCATGACTAGCTGAAATGAACTGAAATCTTTTTGAAATTAGAGAAATTTAGACTTAAGTGCACATTGTTCTGAGTTAGTTTGGAACCTTTTTAGGCAATTTCATTTTTATTTTTTTTCCTGATTAAGTTAAATGCAAAAACTATAACCCAGTAGTTCTGCTGCTATGCTTGTACCCAAGTGAAATGGACACATTTTTCTAAAAGATTGATAAAAATTGTCCAGTGCAGTTTTATTCATGATAGCCTTAAACTGTAAACAATCAAAAAAGCAGAATGGATGAACCAGCTGTGTTATAATAATTCAGTGAAATACTATACAGTAATAAAAACATTTGAAATATGTATGCAGAAAAATCATTGTTGTGTGAAACAACGTAAGGAGAAAATAACTATTCACACATGAAGAATAGACAAAACTAATTTGTGGTGATAGAAGTCAGACTTGGAAGAGGCATGAAGGAGCATTGTTGTGATGAAATGTTTTGTGTTCATTAGTGGAATTATGGTCATATGAGGTTATATATGTAATAGTTTATTGTGCATTTTCCTATCCCTCCGTAAAATAGAAAGAAAAGATAATCCCATTATGCTTTTCTGCTCACTCTGTTATAAACATATGTATTAAATCAGGGATTTGGACTAATTGGAGTTAGTATTCACCCTGTAAATTTTTCCTTGCCGTCTTTTCTATCTTTAATCTTTATCCCCTGCTTTCTCTTCATTCATTTTTCATTTCTTTTAAATCTTGGTTATATTCTTCTTTGGTTTTATGTGAGTTCTTTGGGGGGAAAGAAAATGGGTGCTTTGTTGACTCATGATGGGTTTCTTATAACCTGGGTGCTGATTGTGTTTTTATATAAAACTCTATTACCGCTTTGCTGAGATTTTGTATCACCCTTGCTTTCTCAGCTGCTATGTGAGTGGGCTCATTTTTGGATGTTATTGTTATGTGCCTGCGACTCGTAAGCGACCGTATGTACAACAGCCCTAAACCCTGCTCTATCCTGTGCCAATCTTATTGTCTCTGACACACATATCCCATTACTCCATCACTGAGTCAGTGCATCTCATCAAGGGGCTTCCTCTTCTGCACTGTTCCTCCAGCCTTCCAAGCATGACGTCCCTCTCCAAGGGACTGGTCCTGCCTTGCAGTATGTCCATATTATGTCAGACAAAGCTTCAAGAATCCTTGCCTCCAAGGAGGAGCCTGGTTTAACCCTCTCCAGGACAAACTTGTTTTTTCTTCTAGCAATCCATGGTATATTCAGTACTCTTCAGCATCACAGCTCGAAGGCATCAATTTTCTTTCTGTCATCCCTAGTCATTGTCCAACTTTCTGATGCATAGCAAGTAATAGCAAAGACTATAGCCCAAATCAGGCACACCTTAGTCTCCAGACTGACATCATTGCTCTTCAGTACTTTGGAGAGGTTTCTGACAGCAGACTTTCTCAGTGCAATTAATCTTTTAAATTTCCTGGCTCCTGATATCAAGAGTGTTGATTGTGGAGCCAAGCAAACTAAAGCTGTTAACAATCTCTTCACCATCTATCATGAAGCTGCAAATTGGCCAGTGGGGAGAATCTTTGTTTTCTTGATGTTGGTATCTGAATGTATGGTATGACAGATGGAATGAAAAGAAATACAATATATATATTGAAAATAGATTTTACTTTCTAGAAGAGCTTTATATGACTTTGTAGTTTGCTGTATATATACATGAGGTGTAAAAGAACTTACATAAAAATAACGACATAATTATTTTAGATTCCATTGTAAAATTTTTATTTGTATAAGTGGGATTGTTTCTGAGGCAGTCTCATAATTTGCTATTTCTTTTTTCCCCCATGTGTATTATTATTTTTATTTATTCATTCATTGTTTTCACATTTCCTCCCTCTCCCTTTTAATTTCCCCCTCTCTCAGGCCACTTTGTAATGCACCTCTTGTTCCATATTGTTGTCATACATACAATGCCTAATCATATACCCATTCAGACCATTCTTCCTCTCACATATTCCATTTTTTAATATGTGGCTTTTCAGACATATGTAATACTAGAATAAAAGTAGAATGTTGTTGTTGTTGTTATGTGCCGTCGTCGAGTCGCTTGCGACTCATAGCGACCCTATGTACAACAGCCTTAAACTCTGCTCTGTCCTGCGCCAATCGCACTGTTTCTGACACTCCCATCCTGATTATCCCAGTCACTGAATCAATCCATCTCATAGAAGGCCTTCCCCTCCTGCACTGTCCCTCCACCCTCCCAAGCATGATGTCCTTCTCCAAGGACCGGTCTCTCCTCACAACATGCCCAAAGTATGTCAGACGGAGCCTCAGAATCCTTGCCTCCAAGGAGCCACCTGGTTTAACCCTTTCCAGGATGAATCTGTTTGTTTTCCTAGCAGTCCATGGTATTCTCAATACTCTTCTCCAGCACCACAGCTCAAAAGCATCAATTCTCCTTCTGTCCTCCTTGGTCATTGTCCAACTCTCTGATGCATAACAAGTGATTGCGAAGACCATGGCCTGTATCAAACGCACCTTAGTCTCCAGGGAGACACCATTGCTCTTCTGGAGAGGTCCCTAACAGCAGACTTTCTCATGGCAATGCACCTTTTAATTTCCTGGCTACTGGTGCCAAGACTGTTGACTGTGGAGCCAAGCAAACTAGAGCTGTGAAAAATCTCAGTCTCTTCACTATCCATCCTGATGCTGCCAGTTGGTCCAGTGGTGAGAATCTTTGTCTTCTTGACATTGAGCCTCAATCCATATTGGGGGCTGCAGTCCTTGAACCTCTGCAGCAGGTGCTTCAGGTCCTCTTCAGTTTCAGCAAGCAGGGTTGTGCCATCTGCATAACACAGATTGTTGATAAATCGTCCAGCAGTCTTGACCCCACATTTCTCCTCATAGAGCCCAGCCTCCCAGATAATCTGTTCTGCATATAGGTTGAAAAGGTATGGAGATAGGATGCATCTCTGGCATACGCCCTTCCCAATTTTGAACCATGCAGTGTTCCCTTGCTCTGTTCTGACGACTGCCCCGTGGTACAAGTATAGGTTTCGCATTAGAACGATCAAGTGTTCTGGGATTCCCATTCTTCTCAGAGTAAATTTGCTTACTCGATACTAGCGTCAACAATTGTCAATACCTAGCTTTTTTTTTTTTTTAATTTTTGTGTGAGTGTACCATCAAATCAGATCTGACTGGTACAGGAGGAGATTGTCCCTCCTTTTCCTGGCAGAGCATCTGGTGGATTGGAACCGTGTGCCTCTGGGATTGTAGTTGCAGCTCCTTGCCACTAGGCCACCAGAGCTCCCCAATACCTAGCATTTTAAATCCATCAGATATCACCCTGAAAGAAAAAGCCTGGAAGATCTGCTTCCGTAGATTGTTGTTGCTGTTACTGCTGTTGCTATGCACCATCGAGTCAGAACTGACCCTCTGGTGGGTTTTCAGAGGAAGTTAATCAAATGAGAGGAGACTGCCTCTCCTTCCGCAGAGAGGCAGAGGGCCCACCTTTGGGATTGCAGCGCAGCTTCTTCCCACTAGACCATGAGAGCTCCCTTGTTGCTATTGTTAGATGCTGTCAAGTGACTCACTGCAACCTCATGACCCCATGATCCCATGACCCCATGACCACCAGATTTGAAACTTGCCCTATATTGCACCATTCTTAAAATCTCTGTCATTCTCAAATCCTTTGTATTAGTCACTGTGTTAATCCGTCTAGTTCCATAGATTATAGCCATTAAGAAACTGACTCATGGGATTGCTCTGAGTTGGAAATGACCCAAGAACAGCATACTTGATTTTAATGGTCAGTCTTGTTTCCCATCTCTCTCCTTTTACCTTGCCCTGAATTAGTTGATAAGTTTCTTCTTAGCCAACATTTTGTATTTATGACAATAGTAAAAAAATCCACTATTTAGTACTTTGCATTTTAACAAGGTATGTTTGACAGTAATAAATGCTAAGATGTGAGTGTGAGCAGAGTCACACTAGCTGTATAATATGTAAGGTTATGTGTCAGTTTGGCTAGGCCATCATTCTCAGTGGTTTGGCAGTTACAGAATGAATGATGTAACTTGGCAGTTAATATAATCATGTAATTTGACAGCTATGTAATGATAAAGTCAGCCTCCATTTTACTATGTAATACCAAACTTTGTTTTTTTCTACTGCAGAGTTTCATTTAACCACCTAGCCTTTGGAACTTAACTATGTGCATAAATGAGGAGGAATGAGTCTGTATCACTTCATCAGTAAATGATCAGTATCTGTTCTTAAAGATGGGTCTATCTTTTCATATTTGTTACAACTAAGTAGCATTTTAATGAAAGAAATACTTAAAGAGAGCATTACTTTGTCCTGCAACAAATAAAGTAATTTTTATTCTCACCAGAAAAAATCTTCAAGAATGATTTTTTTGTTATTGTATTAATAATTTTTACTGATGTCTCTATTAACTTAGAATGTTTTGTTGTTTGCTAATCAAAGTATAAACAAAAAATATTAGCTATTTTTGTTGATTAAATAGCAATCTGGGGTAAGTGTTGTTGAAGTTCAGTACTTCTTAAAATCATAGTAAAAATAAGAATTGTTTTGAAATAGTTTGACTATAAGTTGGATTTTTGGTTATTAATGTTTAGACTAGTATAAAAACATCAAAGAGATTTTGTTGCAGATTGTGTTCTTGTTTGTTTCGACAGTCCTTAGTGAGAGAGTCATGCCGATGGACCATCCGGTCCCACCTTCTTTCATGGTAATGAAATGTCTTACAAGTGTAGCATGCATGATTTACTGTGGAAATATTTCACTTGTGTGCCTTTCTTTTGAACAGGCAGTATAACGCCAACTGTGGAACTGAATGGCCTTGCTATGAAAAGGGGAGAGCCTGCCATCTACAGGCCATTAGATCCAAAGCCATTCCCAAATTATAGAGCGAATTACAACTTTCGGGGCATGTACAATCAGAGGTTTGTATATCTCCTTTGGTTTTGTTCTTATGTTATTATTTTATACATGTTATAAAAATTTCTGAAACTAAGAGTATTGTCATTGGAATAAAATATACTTTAAGCAGTTTTCATGAAATTTGGGTAAATCAGGCTCACAAAAATATTTAAAGTGAAATAGTTCTAACAACATGAGTTTTCAGTAAATAATTTTTTTTATTTTATTTTTTTTCAAGGAATTACAAAGCTAATTTTAAACTTTGCAGTGAGCTCTGTGATAACTGCAGGACCCAGTTTTAAAGTCACAGTACAGATTCTAGTGCTGACTTCCCAGTGACTTTCTTTACCAACCAGCACAGTGTTGATTTGTTGTAACACATTACAAACATGAGTGTTTATAATCTCTAGGAAATTTTCTGGAGAAAGGAAAGATTTACAAGTCTTTATAGACATTGCATGGTTTTGTGATGATCAGAGTATGACAGAATTTTCTTTTAAATTGATAAAATATCAAAATAAAGTTGAATTGGGTTTTTTTTTTTGCTTCTCATAAAAGTCATAGATCATTGTGGAGAAAGGGGGGAAATGCAAAATGCAGGATGTTAAAAGAAAATAAAAATAATTTGCAGTCTTAGCACTAACTAGCATAAATGTTCCAATAACCTTTATATTCTTTTTTTCTTTGCCATAGGTACACATATTTAACAAAATTAAAATTATTCTTTCTATATTAACTTTGTAATGCTTTATTTAGGTATAATAATAGGGGAAGTGCCCAAATCTTAAGTATGTCTTGATAGTATTAGTATTTATGTATATATGTACTTATACTTTATTTATAAGATGACTTTTTAAAAAAAAATTTATTATTTTTGTGTGAGTGTACCATCAAATCAGATCTGACTGGTACAGGAGGAGATTGTCCCTCCTTCCCTGGCAGAGCATCTGGTGGATTTGAACTGTGTGCCTCTGGGATTGTAGTTGCAGCTCCTTGCCACTAGGCCACCAGAGCTCCCCTTATAAGATGACTTTTTAATGTTTAATTATCACAGCATAGGGTGTCATAGAAAGTTCATCACCCCTTTAAGTTTTAAAATGCCTCTTTGCAATTGAAGGACCATTTTCCACAAGTAACCACTATTCTGACACTGTCACTATAGATTTGTCTTATCTGTCATTAAACTATGAACTATAAATAGATCCATATGGTATTTACTCTTTTGTATCAGACTTTTTAAAAAACTTAAGTTACCATCAAGTCAAAACCAATTCGTAGCTGACACTCCAGTGAGGTTTCAGAGGCTGCAGATCACACAGGACAAAATGACTCATCATTCTTTTTTTTAGCAGCTGGTTTAAACTGGTTGCCTTTGGGTTGACAGTACAATTCCTTATATACTGGGCACCAGCGCTTCTGCTTTACCGTATTTTCTTTAAAGGCAAAAGTTCTGTTTGTTGTTCTTGTTTTATTGAGAATTGTCTGTTGCTTGTGTGTGTCTGGGGTTCATCTTTTCTACTGCTGAATAGCATTTCCTTGTGTTTGTTTATCCTATGTGTGCATTTTTATCCTATGTGTGCATTTTTATGCCCTTTTTTCACTTAATCCTTGAGAATATTTTTGATGGTAACATTGTACTTCATATGACCCTCATATATTTGATAATCTTATGCCCTATAATAATCATCTGTTTGTTTCTTTTTTGCTGTTGGAAATAATACCACAGTAAACTTTATACATAATAAGTCTTGGTTTAACTCATTATTTCCTTAATATGAATTTCTAATGGGGAATATTGGTGAAAAAAAGTGCTACTTAACTGCATTAAAGTTTGTACTAATTTGTTAGTTTTCAGAAAGTGACTATTTCACTGTAATACAGCATTGTACGTTTAAGAAAATTTGATAGTGTAAAGTAGTATGTTCTCATTTTCATTTTATTGATTACTGATGAGACTGAACAGCTTTAAAAATCTTTCTTTGCTGTTCTTATGGTATGATGATTTTTTTTAATTGCATTGCTTGACAAGTATTCAAATGCTTTTACGCTAAAGGTAGTATCATTAAACTGTCTTCTTTGTTGTAATTCTCTTGCTTTTAACATTTGACTTTCAATTTTAATTTTACTGTTTAATGTACTATAATATTAGAATACAGTATGATTCAGTGTATTTTTTTTTAAAAAAAGTTCTATTTCTCCCATTGCTTTTACGCTTGGGAATTTATTTTCCATGTGTAATTTGCTGATACATGTGTTAATACATATTTTGTTATGGTATTATGCTTTTACTGACATCACAACTCAGAAGATAGTCTCTAAATTATATAATACTGTTTTAATATCTTACTCGATAGAAAAATTATCATTAATATTACTAATTAAAAACTTACTTGTATTCAAATGGTATATAGTTAGTTCCTTTAATTATTTGTTACTCAGAGTCTCTAAGAAAAACATTAATGATCTTTTAGATTTTAGACTTATAAAAAGTATAAAACTTTCTTGTAGAAACAGAGTGAGTCTTTACCTCTGTATGATTGTCCTGTATTATCCTCTGATTACTCAGGTCATTGTGTTGATGACCATTGATTATGAGGTGACTGTATACTTCTTTTGCTGTCTGCCCTGAAATCTGCTTTGATGACTTGCCCATTCATTTTGCTCACATTATATTTTTGGAGGATGTCTGACATTTCCACCTTGCTACTAATTTAGCCGAACCTTCACTATGACTGATTCCACTGGTATGCTTCTGGCCCATTTTTTTTCTGTGGCATTTCCTTTGATTCCCATTTCTTCATTCTCTATTTGGAGCCCATACTATGTAGTCAGCATGGGAGATTTAACATTTCTGCAATTCTTGCTTTGCACTCTCTTTTTCTTAGACCAGTTGTCTTTCAGTCTAACGTTACGTAATAAGAAACTAATTGCCTGCTGAATTTACATATAAGCAATGTGTTTGGTCATCTGAATTGGGAACACTTCTATTTTATATTTCCAAGAGATATTATTTTTAATGTACTATAGTGAATGCTTATACTGTTAAACATTTTGTTGTATTTTATATCTGTGGTCTTTTATTGAACTTTTGCTAAAGTTTTGACTAGTAAGTTTACTACTTTCAAGTAAAAGAAATTTAGTACTAAAACATTGAAAAAAATCATGCAGTCTTTGTCTTGATGGAGCTTCTTTCTGAATAAGAAGAGAGCTAGTCAGTAAAAGAATTCCTGCATATATTGTGTTTGATGGTGATTAAGACTCCTTAGAATGAATTAACTAACAAGGGAAAGTATTAAATGGTTTCATTTTATGTATGAAGGCTAGTCACATTAGAAGGTAAATTTTGATAAATAGTTAAAGGAAGAGGGAGGATATGAAGGGTTAATTTCAAGAGAACATTCTAGGCAAGAGAAGAAACAGCAAGTGCAAAGACTCTGAGGTAGGAGTGTGTCTGTTGATGAACATCTAACAGGCCAGTGTGACTGGAGAAGAGTGAATACGGAGGCAGTCATTTAGGACCAGAGGAAGGGGTTCATGTGGTCATGTGGTTTTATTTGATCTTATTTTGATCCCAATGGCTTAGTGGTTAAACATTGGCTGCTAAAAAGCTGCCAGTTTGAACACACCAGCTCTTCTGGAAGAAAGATATGACAGTTTGCTTCTGTAAGTATGTACAGCTTTAGAAACCCAATGGAATAGTTTTCTTCTGTCCTGGGAAATCAGAATCCACCTGAAGGCATGCTAACTTTTCTGTCAAGAAAGTTGTAATTTTTCTTTTGTTGAAAATTTTAGTTATAGAATCTTGCTTGGAGGAGTGCAAGAATGTTATGTATAGCTTTTTCCTAACTGTTACATCTTACATCATTCCTATTTAATGAATAAAGTGGATTTTCCTTTCAGCTGTTTGGAGAATTTTTAGAATTTTCTGTAGATCACAAAAAGTTAAAAATGAAACATGAAAGAACTACTAAAGTCATCCTTTAACTTGAACATGACTGTCTGCTTACCGAAGGGCAGACCTAACCATTACTCAGAAGGCTGTTAAAGATTCTCGTTTTTCACACATGAGTTGACTTTTTAAATGAACATGCTTGACTGTATTCAGAGAATTAAGGGTCAGAGGTCAGGAGAGAGAGTCTCTTATCTTTGCCAGACATCAAAATAATCAGTAGTTCCTGAGTAAGGTAAAGAATGAAAGACTAAAGAGTTCAAAAAACAGGTTATTTGAAAGAGTCATCTCGCTTTTTAGTTATAATAATATTAACTAATAATTAGAGATTACCCATAGTATTGCACTGTGGAGTTTTTGAGAAAAGTTTTGTGTGAAAGATTACAAAGCAAATTGGTTTATTTAACAGTTTTTTATACAAATTGCTTTATGACATCAGTTAATTTTTCACATTGTATAACCATTCTCATTATTTTCATTCTGTTTCTATTAATTTAGCTCCCTGACATTTCTTACTTTTTCATTTTTGTTTAACCATTTGGTCTTATATAGTTGTTTTTTAAAAGAAGCATAGTACTCATAGCTGACACTATTTATTTTATAAGCCATTCTGTTATTTGATTGCAAGGTGACCTCTAAGAGTAATTTCATTTCCAAATTCAAAGGGTTTCTTAGGGCCATTGTCTCCAGGGTCCTGTAATTTCTCTCAGTCTGGTATGTCTACCCTTTTTTAGAAATTTGAATTTTGCTCTGCATTTTCTCCACCTTCTATCCTTATTGTTTTCCTGGTCAGAAAAGTTGGTAGTGGTAGCTAGGAAGCAGCTTATCTTCTAGAAGCTGATCTTCCAGTTCAGGTTAGATGAGGATGTGGCTTGTATCCTTTGAGTTTTTGATTGTATTCTTTGTCTTTTGCTCAGTGGGAGTAGAGTCCAGTAGTTGTACCTTAGATGCTTTTGCAAGCTTTTGAGACTCACCGAATTAGCATTTAGAATATAATCTTTGTGAACTGTGCTATGCCAATTGATTTAGTTGCCTTCTAAGACTGTAAATCTAAACTTTTTTTTAAAAAAAACA